TGGGGCAGGGCCTGGATAGGCTCGTGGTAGCAGGAAAGGCGAGCAGCGGGGGGGCTCACTGGTGGGGGCGAAGACAGTGCCGCCAAAGGCCTTGGAGCCCAGCAGCTGGGCGACGGCGGGGTCGTCGGCCTTCTCCGCCGCAACCAGAAGGCTGAGGTCGGGGGAGGCCAGCACGGCGGCCAGCACGGTGGGGGGCTTGGCGGCCTCGGCTGCGGAATTGGGTGGAGGGGGCGGGTGAGTGGTGGATCGCCGGCACAAGGGCATGCGTGATGGGAAGTGCTACCACGCCGCGCAGGCACGTGCGCAATGCGCATTGGCCATGCGGCGCCCCTGCAAGCGAAATGTGCTGGGGCCGGGCCATTTGTGTGGCTGCATCGGGGCGCATGCCCTGAGGGGCGCTCACCAGAGACAGCCAGCAGCGCGACCAGCGCCACAGCGATGGAGCAACGCATCATGGTGGCTGGTGGAGGCGCGATCGAAAGAGATGGGTGAATTGTGTGGTGGAATTGCGGGGGTGCAGGCTATGGGGGGGTGGCCGTCCTGCACCACATGTCACGCAAACCAGCAATACACTTCCCCGGTCTGACACACCACAAATTGGTGGACGGGGAGGCGCCAATGGCATGCACAGCAGCCATCGTGCGATCGTGAGGCTGAACGAAGGTATTTTCTCTGGTGGGGTGGCAGCCACCATCCAAAGAGCAGCTTCCGGCACGCTGGTAGCTGCCTGCATGTGCCCCCCCCCCCACCACCACCACCACATCCACCCACCCACACTGGCCACACAAAACTCAAGGATGATAGTGCTTACATGTTAAACAGGACAAGTGTATGCAGGATGGATGCAGCCAAAAAGGGTTCCAACAAAAACCATCAACTGAAACGAGCAAGCAAAGCTACAGGTGGGAGCGGCGCCTGGCGGCAGAGCTGGGGCTTGCTGCGCAGGGCGCACACCACCCACATTGTTGGGGGCAAAGGTAGCCCTCCCAGATAAATCTACGTGACAGCTACATCAAACTGGCTGGCTGAGGGGTCTAGTCAGGTCTTGATGCGGCGGCCGGGGCACCTAACGGGCTATCAGAGGGCTGCGCTGCGGTCACGTCATGCACGGGGCAGGCTTGAGGCATTGCGGGGCAAAGGCAAGGGGCTGGAGAAAACGGGGAGGTGGTACAAGGGGCAAGCAGCGGTGCGAAGGGAAGGCGCTTGAGGGAGAGCGTCGAGAGGTCGAGGGGCCGGTGCGCCGCATGCGCGCACCGGCATCACAACGATGGGGGAAGCAGTGAGAAGCAAACAGGAGAGCAGAGGGGTTCGTGTGGTGCCACCGGTTGGGTGGCCAGGCTGCAGGGTGGTGGGAGGCGGGGGCGGGCGCGGGAGGCAGGCCCGCTCAGTAGACGTCAGCAGGGGCATGGACAGCATCGGTGGACGCGGAGAGAGCGCTGGTGGCGGGCTCGGGCTCAGCCTGCAGGCTGCCGCTGCGGGGGCAGGCGGGCCCCAGCTGCAGCCTGGCGCTGATAATGTCGAAGGCTGCCTGCGGGGGGCAAGGGCACGGCAGCGGTGCAGGCACGGTGAGGAGAGCGGCGGGGCCTTGGCGGCCTGGAAGTTGTCGGGACAGGCGGCCGGGATGACTGGAAAGCATGGCAGCAGCAGGTGGCCGCACTGGGACCCATGCGCGCACCTCGTGCTGCTCCTTGAGCGCCTGGCTCAGGCACCTGCCCAGGTCGGCGGCAAACGCTGCCAGCAGCGCCTGCTCGGCTGGGCCGATGGCGGCGGCGCTGGTGAGGGTGCAGCGCCCGCAGCGGTTGAGCACGGGGCCCAGCGGCAGGGCCGCGGTGGAGCGCGCGGCGGCGCCAGCGCCGCCAGGCGCTCCCAGCAGCAGTAGGGGCAGCTGCGCGGTGCCCGCAGTGGTGGGGCACGTCACCACGATGCCGCTGGCCGCAGGGAACAGCGCGGCCAGGGCGGGCAGGGCAGCCTGGGCGTGGGCGTTGGAGCCGGGGAGCAGGGCGGCGGTGACGGCAGCCGCGGCGGCCGCGGCGGCTGCCGGGGAGGGAGCGGCGGCGGTGGCGCCGCTGCAGCTGCTGCAGGGCGTGGGGAGCAGCTCGGAGCACAGCTGCTCAATCAAGGCATCCTCGTCGGTGTGCTGCATGCAGGTGAGGGCCAGGGCAAATGATCAACGCAAACCTGGGCAGGAAGGCAAGAAGCGTCGCATGGCGCGGCGGGCGATACGACGCTCGCTGCCCGCCGCCTTCCTATTGCGCCCAGGGCACCACCCAGCACCGCTGCCCGGCCCTGGTCGTGAACATGCGTCTCACCTGCGGGTCCGAGGCGCCCAGGCTCGGGCAGGTCTGGCCGGGCCAGCAGCCGAGGAGGTGTGGCCCCAGGCAGCGCCTGCTGGCGGGCAGCCCTGCACCAGAGGACTTTGCTGGGCCTGGGCGGCACATTGGAGATCTCAGCCGGGAGCGTGGCGAGTGTCGAGAGTGTCTGGTCACAACAGGGAGTGGGGCAGTGAGGGCGTTTCAAAGGATTATCAGATGAATAAATTGATGGGTCAGGAGGTGGTGGGGAGGTCGGTGTGAATGGTGCAGGCAAGGGCAGGCAGCCGACAGAGGTAAGCCCGGCATCAGCTCCCACCTGTCTGGACAGCGAGGCACTCCACTGCAGTGGCTGTTAGAAGCGGCCTGGCACAATAGGAACCAAATTGGCCGACCCCAGCAGCCCTGGCCCGGGTTGGCCAAGGCGGCCCACAACAGCCTGCGCTGGCGCGGCGACTTGGCGGCGGGACTACCCAGCTGGCATGCCGCCGCCTGCCTTGCTGCCTTGATCCGGACCCAATTACTACACTCCCACACCTCTGAGCAACTCCACAGCACCACATGATAAGCAAGGTTGTGTCGATTGAGCATGAGACACAAGCCAGGCTTGTGCTGGGTCTGCTGGGAGAGGCGCAGCACAGCAGGCTGCTGCGCCAGTACGGAGGGGGCAGAGGGGTCAGACAGCACGTGGCTGTCTGACGCAGTGGCAGGCTGCCCAGCCCTTAGCCTGGCTGGCAAGCCTGCTTCTCCAGTCGCTTTCTCCGCAGGCAGCAGCTTCGCCCCGTGCCACACAGGCACGTGCGACGCCCCCCCGCCCCCCCGTTTTCGCAGCTGCCGCCCCTCGCGGGTGCTTTTCGGTTGGGGTGGCCCTCCGCCACAGCAGAGGGGATGGGCAGACCGCAGCAGAGCCGTTGAGGCGGGCCGGCGGCAGCTGCCGTTCCGCTGGGCGCCTCAGCCGGGGCGCTGGGCTGGGGGCAACGAGGGGCAGCGGGCGACAGGGGTAGCGGGGGCCGACGGCACCCGAGGGCAGTGCGCCGCTGGGCCGGCCAGCTGCCGAGCGGGCGCAGGGTTGCGCCGTCGGCCGACAGGGCGATGCCGGCAGCACAGAGCTAGGGTTGATCGTGGCCGCTGTGCGCAGCAGCGACGGGCGGGCGGCGCAGCAGCGACGTTGCCACCGCAGGGCGGCAGCGAGTACGCCGCAGGGAGAGCGGCAGTCAGTGTTCCGGGGACAGCAGGCAGCTTGGGCGACGAGACGGCGGACGGCATGGCAGAGCGCCCGGCGGCGTCAGAGGCGGCGGAGCCGCTTTCTTCGGAGCGGCGCGCGAGCGCCGCTGGACATGATGTTGTGTGGCTAGCGGAGATTGTGTAGACGTTCCCATTGTCGACACTCATTGCTGTGTGTAACACATACAGCTCCACAGAGGCACCAGACCAGCACAACATTGGCAATAGGCAAGGTCGGCTCCAGGATCACCAGAACGCCCAGCGCTAGTCGCAGAGCGGCAGCGGCGACGGCGACGTCAGCGCTCCGCCCCCGACCCTTCCCGCCGACGCTATGCCGGAACAGCGCCGACATGCCCGCCAGCGTCTGCTGCCATGCACCTGCTTTACCAGGCGGTCCAGGCGCGTACGGCGCGCTGGGACTGGGCACCGCAGCAGCAGCACTCAGCAGCAGCACTCGGGCTCCCGCCCCACCGCCTTGCTGCGCGGCGGCGTGCCGCGGCCGAGATGGCGGCTGTCTGGTGCCAGCATGCGAGGCGGCAGCCCTGCCTGGGCAGGCCCTGACACACAGGCGTGAATGGAATGTCCCTCTAGCCCACTTGCCTGCTGCAGGCTGCATCCATCAACGGCTCCAGCCGCATACCACCCCGCCTCGTCGACGTCAAACGCATCGTCGGCTGGCGGCGGCAACGGCGGCCGGTTCACCTGGAGCCTATCGAGCTGCTGCTGCTGCTGCTGCTGCTGCTGGAGGCTAATGCTGCCTCCTTTCGATCTAGATCATACGTCTGCAGATTCTGCTGACTCAGGGAGGAGGGAGCAAAGGGCCCCGGGGTCCGCCGTCGCGGCATGGGGCCCTTTTCTCAGCTGATGGCTCCAGCTCTCCCACCATTTCTAGCTAGTCGTACTAGTGCCCTCCCAAACCTCATCAGACGGCGTTCTGGAGCTGGGGGGAGGCATGGAGACGCGAAGGGTGAGGGTTCAGGGGAGTGCCGCTCCCACGCAGCTGTGCACGCTGCCTGGTGGCTGGGCTGCTGCCACAGGGCAGTCCAAGGGCGTCCAAGACTGCAGCAGGCCGCAGGCCCCAGCAGGTGAGCTGCACCCGGCCACCCTCAGCAGGGAAACCCCACTGCCGCTCCTGCAGGGCCAGGAGGCACACCGAGACCACCCAGGGGGCGTCCAAGAGCCATGGGAAGGCCCAGGCCGACGTCTGCAACACGGGTTAGTGGCCGGTGCGGCCGGACGGGCGCGAGCGCCGCTGCCGCCCGCCGTTGACGCCGTCGCCCGCAGCCACCACCTGTGAGCCTCCCATCCAGCCTGCCAATCCAAGTGCCGACCCCTGCAGGCCCAAAACGCTGCGATTGGCAGGCAGCACACCTCCAAACTACCAGCCAGTTGCACGCGAGCCTGGCACCATGACCACCAGCCACGGGCCCGAGTTCCAGCATCCACCACTCCTGCACGGTAAGCTTGCTGCGCCGCAACCGGCCCAGCCTTGGCCTGGCCACCCGACGCGCGCCAGCTCAGCTTGCCGAGCGTTGGCAAGCTGAGCTGCCACGCCTGCCCCTGCCGCACCTGCCGCCGCCAAAGCCGCTCACCTGTAGCTGAGGTTTGCTGGCACGTGAGCTGCCGTCAGCAGGCTGCCCGCTGAGGGCCTGCCGAGTTGCGCATGCCCGCCAACAACACCTCCTGTTCCCATCCGCTTCCCCCGCAGGGTCTGCACAGCGAAGCGACGCCAGGCACGGCGGCGCCGCCCCCCTCCCAAAGAAGGCCCGGCTGCCAACTTGCCGCGTCTCCAAGAGCGGCTGCCCGAGTGAAGCCCTTCTACACAGTGTGAGATGGGGTGCTGCCGCAGCCGAACGCTTCAATCACGGACGGGGTCAGGGGGTGGCTGGGTGGTTGAGGGCGACATGCGGGGCGGGGCCGCC